GTGTGTGTGTGTGTGTGTGTGTGTGTGTGTGTGTGTGTGTGTGTGTGTGTGTGTGTGTGCATGTGTGCGTGCGTGGCAGAGCGTTGCATGTGTGCACACGCTTGCTTAAGGACCCGCTCGTCCCCCTCCCGCCCCCCACCTCCCTTTCTCATAGTCGCTGTGCTTCACTGCAATTTACGTGTCTCTCTTGCTGCTTTGCAGACATATCGTGTACCATCACTTGACTTCGGAGCTGTCATCGGGGCAGACCAAGACCATCAAGTGCAACTACAAGAAGCAAACCACTATCATCCCCCACAAGCCCATCACCCAGCTCACGGTGCGAATGCTGTGCTTTGCGGCACTCACTGTCGTGGGCATGCTATTCCCTATTCCGCTGCCTTGCATGAATGCGTGCACAATTCGACTGCCCATTGGCTTGCGTGCTCTTGCCCAGCGTCATCATGCCCCCTTTGAACCTCAACTTGCCTACCCAACTGTAGGTGGCTCCACGGCAGCGCAAGCTGCTGGTGCTGTCAGAGTCCTGCCTGTACATCCTCTTCATGGACAATCTCAACCACATGGAATCCCACAAGCATGTGCAGCTCAAAGTCAGTGTGCATGTGTGTGCAGTGTGTGTGCAGTGGTGCTTAGTTTACTGTGTTGCCAGCTGTCCATGCCACTGTATTGATTCGCTGTCCACCTGCATCTCACGCCATGCCGTATTCGTGTGTTTGTTCAACTGCAGAACGTCAGCCGATTCTGCGTCGATCGCTCGCACGACCCAACAGAGGACGGCGTTTTCGAGGTGTCTGCAAGTGGAGCATGTATGCGTGTGTGTCTGTGCGTGTGTGTGTGTGTGTGTGTCTGTGTCTGTGTCTGTGTCTGTGTCTGTGTGTCTGTGTGTGTGCGTGTGTGTCTGTGTCTGTGTGTCTGTGTGTACCTGTCTGCCTGCCTGCCTGCCTGTCTCCACACCAACTTAACCCTCCCCCCCCCCGCCTCCGTTTCGCTTCCGCAGATCACAGTGGTGTTCAAGAAAGGGGCCATCAAGTCGTATGAGCTCGTGGGCAATGTCCTCACACCAAACAAGCGTCTCAAGGAATTCAGAGAGGCGCAGGTGCGTTTCGCGCGTGAAAGTTCACTCGCACATGACTAATGCGAGTGTTTGGGTGATGGTGGAGATGAGGGGAGGTGGGTATGTAGAGTGATAGTGGGTAGAATGAGTGACAGGGCGAAGTTACGATGAAGTACCTTTACTTACCACAACCCTTGACCACCATCACTCACCCCCCCCCCAACAAAAACACCTTCTTCTCACCCCCCCCCCAAAAAAAAAAACCTGTTGGCTGTAGGAGATCCTCGACATGGAGCGGGAAGGGCGGGCGCTGCTTGTCGCCCAGCGCGACGCGTATTACCGCATTGACCTGCTCACCACCAGCAAGAAGCACATCACCAACGTCGGCACCGCCACCCCGCGCGTCAAGTGGCTCCAGCAGAACGAGGTCTCCACAGAGGAGGAGGAGGAGGAGGAGGGCTGCACAAAGTGCTTGGTGTGTCTGTCTGTCTGTGCCTGCGTGTCTTTGTCTGCGCGCGCGCGCGCGTGTGTGTGTGTGTGTCTGTATGTGTGTGCATGTGAGCAGCTGTTCGCGCATCCTTCCCGTGTCCTCGAACCAGTGCTCACATCATCCTTCCCACCAACGCCACCGCCCGCCAGTTCCTTGTTGTTCACGGCGCTGGTGCGCAGGCGCTGGCCATCTGCATCCAGGCCAACGGAGAACCGCTGCGAAGCCCCATGCAGTGGGTGGAGGGGCCCACGTCCATCGCCTTCACGTACCCTTATGTCGTTGGCATGTATCCCTCTGTTGGCACCCTCTCCGTCTTCTCCATCCTCGACCTCGCGCCCGTGCAAGTGTTCGACTGCAAGGTACCACACTTACTCACTCACACACAAAGAGGCATACCATGTGATGCGCACACAGAGTTACCGTGCGCACAGACACACACACTCACACACACACACACACACACACACACACACACACACACACACACACACACACACACACACACACACACACACACACACACACACACACACACATTGCACTGCTGCACGGACCAGAGTCGAGATGGGGCCATGCGTGTATGAGAGTATGTTCGACGGTCTGTCAGTGTTTCCAAATTTGCACGCATGCTTCACTCGCGTGCTATCTCCTCACAAGCTGACCCCCCCCCCCACCGCTCCCTTGGTGACACGTTTGCCGGCGCGTGCCGCATGTCCGTTCGCAGGAGCCGACAATGCTGTTTGACGTCGCGGACGGGCAGATTCTCGTTGCTCGCGGCCGCTCCGTTCTCCTCCTCGCCCTCACCTCCTTCCATGCTCAGGTGTGCCGATTTTGTTTTGTGTGTGTGTGTGTGTGTGTGTGTGTGCTTGTGCATATGCGTGTGTGCGTGTGTGCATGTCTGTCTGTCTGTCTGTCTGTCTGTCTGTCTGTCTGTCTGTCTGTCTGTCTCTCCGTGTGCGTGCGTGTGTGGCTTTTTCCGCTACCCTCACGTGTACATGACTCTGTGCCACCACCAGATCTCCCACCTCATCAGCGAGGGACTGGTTGACGAGGCATTGACACTCATGGAGGTACGTCCCAGCACCAACCTGCTGTGGCACTCCCTCTCACGCCCATGTCACTGCTGTCACTGCCCCTCTCGCGACACCACTGCGGCTGCTGCCGTTGCTATTTGCTTGAGCTCACGCGTGCTTGATGGTGAATGTGTGTGTGTGTGTGTGTGTGTGTGTGTGTGTGTGTGTGTGTGTGTGTGTGTGTGTGTGTGTGTGTGTGTGCGACGACGACGG